GGTCAAAAACTAAGCTGGAATTATGACCCCAGCAAAAAAATATATTTTGTTTTCGCCTGGTTAGTGGAAAACAAAAGGGGACCCCAAAAAAGCCCCCCCCAAAAAACGGTGGAACTAATTCTGGGGAAGAAAATCGGTACCCATCTTGGGAACCCTGGCAAATGGACACATGGACTAAAACCTGCAGTTTTCGTTTTTTTTTTTTCTTGACCCGCACCCATTTGGCACGCGAGGTGTGGAAACTTGGATCGGTGGCAGTTGGTTGGATTGGTGACTGGTTACGTCCTAGGCTGGAAGGGGCGCTCCCGTACAAATATAATGTAAATGGTTGGAGACAGGTGGGTTTTCCGACTCACGGGTCGGGCAAATCCGTGGGCAAGACTATCTGTCAACGCCAACCCTGCGAAACCTTTTCACGAGATCAATGAAGTACCGCATTTGGCAGTTGACATATTCAAGGTATTGGAATGTGAAGCTATGGCCCGCGTAGACGTTTTCTTACAAGAGGATTGCACGTGTTCAATGAACTTCTCAATTCCAGGCTGTACACATATCATCATGTAGGGATCGATCATTTGCAAGAGTGCCATTTCAAAAGTGAAAACACCACCAACTGCTCAGTCCTTAAAACACCTCATATTACGATTGCTTAAAACGTGTGGGCGTGTGTTTACATCAAAGTCTCGTGGATTTCTCGTGCTTAGCGGATATTGCTTTGGCACTGGTTTCATGCAGGGCCCCGGAAGATAGATCTTCCAGAATGACTGCTTTGCCAAAAACAAGCGAACAAGTTCAAAACATGACAGTTCCAATTGGTATAGAAGTTCTTGAACTGTTGCCACTTGTTCATTGGAAACAAGATGCCTTACACTGTATCTCTGCATATTATGTTCCTGCCAGCGCCCGGAGCACGTAAACAAACACGTGATGAGTAAGCTTATCAAGAACCAGCATGACCCCAGGAAAGTCCAAGGCGAAAAGGAAATGACGGTCAAAGTTAAGTGTCGTGACCTAATTGATGGTATTCCTAAAGAAGTTGCGATTCGCACAACACACCTTTTGCTGTTCCAAATAAGACAGCGTGCGGTTGCTCCTGCAAAATCACAAGAATTACACATGGAAATCCAATACCTATAAATTAACGTGTGTAAGCTTTATCTCCCCACTGTTTCTTGCAACATAAATGGACAGCCCCACAGCATCTTGCAACATAACAGAAACGGCCAGAATAACATTAGCAAAACAACACTGGCATCAAGAGAATGCCTGATTTGAAGTAACAAACAGAAACCCAATGTGGCCAAGTATGTCAAGTATCTTGCAAGCTAGATATCTCGCTTCTGTGTGGCTTAGTGGTTTGAGGAGACGCTGTTTTCCGGTGACTACTAGAAATCGCATGTAGACTAATTATAAGCATGCAAGAATATCATTCGATAACATCGATATCACAATGTTTGAAGCTTTAACTGTTCAAAAGCGGAATATCTGAGGCAGTGGCTTAACAAGTTGATATATGCTTCAAGTTACTTTGAGGACACATGAGAAAAGACTTGACGCAACACATAACATCAACCGCCGTTGAAGTGTGAACCTGTAGGGACGTCCAAACAGCTCTGTTAACAACGACCCTACGCAGCTGGTCAACATAGTCACAGATGCTGTAAGCCATCGAATCCTTAATAAATACGCTTTGAACATCAACGCTACGAAATCGAACACTTATTCACAAACTAATCACTAGCAACCCCGACATGTGATTTAAGGTATTGAGAAAAGAGCATATGAATTCCCACAAGTAACAGTTGAATTAATTAAATGGACCTCTATTTTTGGAAGTTGCTTCTATCCATTCAGCAGTAACTTCCACAGATACTTGGCTGTTTGATTTATACACATTGGAAGTGTGTTGCATTTTTGCTTTCATGATCATTGTATTTCAATGTTGTTCAGTCATTCTAGGGCCTTGCGCGCTTGGATCAATTGCCAGTAAGAGAAGGGAATACACAGTTCGGAAAATAATGACGCGCTTCTGATCATTGCAGCAGCCACTCTTATTATCCGTTCGGAAGGGCTTATTGCTATTCACGCTGAAAAAGCATGGATAGAAAAGGAACTGATTTCTTTAAAACGTTTGATCAATCCAGAGTTTGAAGAGAACGCTGAGTATAGCATCAATGACTTTAAGTTTATGCACATGATGCGCTGTTAGTTTTAAGGCTTCTGCTGCTTCGATTTGCTAATCGGCACTACGCCATAAAATGGAAGCCCTGCCCTCTGAAGAAATCACAGAGGACATATAAAGTTCCAGATTACAACGAGAAACAGCTATAGCAAAAGCAACTACGAACATTTCCTAATGAACAAACAGCTTTAGAGCCCCATGTTTAAAGAGGTACACTTCACCTTTCCCCACGACAAACACCACCAAACATATGCCACAAAATCAAGCAAACAAATTGAAGGCGCGACAACTTGACGTTGAACAAATTCTAAGGCAAACAGCGGCTTTCAGTATAGAACGGATTTCAATCGCAGGGCAGAATAGCCACCACATTACTGCTTCTTACAGATATCATTGAAGATGTAAACGGCGAATTAGATGGGGTGGCAATGACACATGCGCCGACCGGATTTGCCTCTTGGAGAACAAAATGCTGTTCCCAAGGTTAATCAAAAGAGAACCAACAGGTTCAGACAAACCACAAAGGGAAACGAAATAAACAAGAAAGAACACACGGGAAACCAACAGATACTGAACTAAGGGAAACTGAACAATAAAGAAAACAGACCTAACCAAAGGGAGAAAGCCGTGGTGGTTGCTCCAGGCTTCTGCTGGTGCTCGCTACCCGGAATCTCCATGAGGCAGAAGAGTTCCATGCTCTGAGGGTGCAGCATCTTCCTGAGTCTCCCAAAGAGGATTCTCTGAGCCCCAGGACCCACGCTGATTTGCCGTTCGAAGTCTACAGGGAAACCAGCCCAAAACCCAACTACCAGCGCTTCGAACTTCCTTTGGAATTTCCGGCTGGTTGCTTGGATGAGTTGCTTGGTTTGCCCCTGTCATGGATGTGGCACGGCGTCTGGCACAAAAGGATGGTCTTACTAGGCATTGTGCTCCATGTACGCTTAGGTTCTCATGAGTAGTTTAAGCAAACCGCCAGTCAATCCATCCAAAAGGTCAAACAAGTTGGCGTGGGCCAACCGCCAATCAACTGGCATCATTCGAAGGAGAACTACCAAGGACTTGAATAGATTTGGTATCACAAGCGCCCCAGTTCCTTCCTTCCCACCCCGAAGAATCCTCGGGCCACGGAGCCTTAGATCCATCCGGGGCGCTTGATGGCGAAGTGGCCATGGCGCTGGGGGCAGGAGGACAAAAAGACCAAGGCATCCAAGCGTAGACCTTTGCTCCCCACCGGCAGTGCACGGGGGGAGAAGGTGGCCTTCTCCTTGTCCTTCTCCGGCCGGACCTGCAGGGCGTGGGTGACCGAAAAAAAAACATGTTACACAACGCTGAGAGAGAGAATTCAGGGGCACGTTTTTTTCCATGGACCTGAAAACTGCCATGCGCCCTTCGATTAGTTGGGATCCGCGCCTTTCGGAAGAACAGCTTACCCCATTGTTTTGGGCTGGGCAATCTGCGGGATCCCGGCGATAGCCGGTCGGAAGGCCCGGCTCGGGTTTCTTGAGGTTCCAAGGTTCTGAGGCGGGCTGGGGATGCCTTTTGAGTTTTACTCGCCCAACTGAATCAAAGGGACTCCCAAGGAACGTTCATATCAAGACTCGTAATGCCGGTAGCCCAAGAAGTAGGAGGGGAAAGGCAGCCCGCCTGCAAGTGGCCAGCATTCGGTTCAATTTTTGTAGCAAGCTCGCCTCCTCTGGGTACGGCATGATAAGCAGCACGAACCACAGTTTACTAGTCATATTGTCAGTCGATACTCATGCAGTAGAAGGGGTGAGGTAGTCTGCCTGCAAGTGGTAAGCAGATCATCAAAATTGTTTCTGCTGGAGCTCGTCCCCATTTGGGTACCCAACCTCACATGTGGAACAGGGATGGTGGGGCTCGCATCCTCCAACTCCCATGAACACTACTGACTTTGGTCGAGAACTATCACTGTGTGATACGAACGGTGGCAAGAGTGCCATGATCAGGGCCCAGGTGAGTGCGATCTTCCATTACCAAACTGCCCTTTGCACACCTGACTCTGTACACTTGACTCTGCACACCTGGCTCAATGGAGTCAGGGATTCCTTCAAACTCGACTACGCCATCCGTTCAGCCCCCCCCCAACCCCGCCCGAAAAAAGGAAAAGAAAGAAACCAAGGCGGCCTTTGCCTTTGCTTTGAACAACATCAGCTCAGGGGTCCTCAAACAAATTGTTCAGGGCAGCGGGGTGGTCATCCAAGCATGGTTACCGCCATTTGTTCAGCATGCGTCGAAAGCAATTTGTTTCAACTGCCTCCTGCTGAGTTTATTCTGTTCGGCCTGCGAAAGCGCGGAACTTCACTTCAACGTTTTCTGGGGTCGGCTTCGGTCGGCGTCCTCAGTCCCTCCCAGCCTTCGCAGGGAAGAATGCTGGAGGCAGATTCTTCTTGGATCGGCTGGCACGTGGTCCCCGCGGCCCTTCCATCAATCGCGCATTGGAAGATCTTGAGCAAAGCTGCGGTGTTTGTCCCAAGGCCAAGGCATACCGGACATGCCTAGACCCCGACGTCTAGAAGACACAGAGGCGAGATCGGGGCAACTTTCCGATTGATTCCCCAACTGTCCGGAGCAAACTTCCTTCAGCTTCCCTGGCCTTGAAAGTCACCTTCCGACCGCGGCAAGACCCTGCCTAATGGTGTGGCTTTCCTTCCGGCAAACCCAGACACGTCGAGGGCTTGTCCCTTCAACTCACAAAACACACTGTGGGGGGTTGTAACAACCGCATTCCCTCCAAAATCGGGAGCCCATGGCAACCCCCCTGCTAGTTGACCACCATTCTGGGCCTAAACCCACGCGCCTTGACCATCAGCGGCCCGAATTGGATGCTGGAATTCAGCATCGTCTGCGTCATGTTGGCTACTTGCCTGGCCGCTGGGCAAAGCCATGAGCCTTCCATTGCAAGTCACCGCAGGAACCCCTCCCTGTGCCAGATTTCTCATTGCCTCAAAGCTCGGCCTAGCGATCGCTTTATCTCGCATTGGACCAGTTGGCTGTCCTTTGGCCCTTGCGCTTCCCATTCAACCATGGTTCAATGGGTTTGTGTGCAAATTGAAACATGTGAGCACCAAACAATATTGCCAGGGTGTGGGTTTTGGGTTGTCGGCTTTGCAGGTTGAGGTCAGGGCCGACCAAGAAGCAGTTGTTTGCTGGTACTGTTGCCAGGCATTCAGAAGTCTCCACCCAGATTGACTTTGCGATGTGGGCCAACTGCTCACTTAGGCTTCTTCGATGCCTACCATTCTGGGGTCACACAAGGGCAAAGCCGACTTTCAACTTCTGGCTGTCAGATGGGAATCAGAGTCCAATCCCTCTTGCCCTGATATTCAAAAACCCGCCAGATGGGTGCTTTCTGCCTCGGAGTTGAGAATGCTTTTTGGGGTCGTAAATGGACAAGCTACCAGGGTTCCATACACCATTTTGAGACATGAGAAAACTCGGGAAACACCTCGCTCTCCCACCTCTTTGCCTCAGACAAAAACTTCAAGGCTTGAGACAAATCGAGAACGGGTTCAAGCCCGAAAAACCGCCAATTCCACAGGGCTAACATACATAGATATATTGCATATATATATATATATATGTATATGTATATATATATAGTACATTCGTCACATAGCAGCCGCATTTGGTTGGGCAGCGCCCCATGTCCCGTTTCGGCGAGCCGCACATTCGGCAGGAGGTCGGCCAGGCGAAAGGGCCCGAAGACTGGGCCCACGGTGCAGGTGGTGACACCCTGGTAGCTGTCCGGTCCGGTCCGGTCCGGGTGAGAAACGCTTCGAAGAATTTCGCCTTCCGTTTGAAAAGTCCCAAATCCTAAAGCTCCAGAGTCCAGAAGAACCGCTGGTGTTTGAAAGGAAGAAGTTGTGGATTGTTGTTTTGGTGAAACGCTGGGATCTATTTAGAATGCTCGGTTTCTGTCTCACGCCGCAAACTTAATCTTGTTCCTACTTAGGCGGTTAGGTAGAAGGGTGGCCGCACAAAAGGGCAACTGGTGTGTTTTGGTTGGTCGGCGATGTGTCGAGCAAGCCTCACTATGACGCACAGGCACCCTGGGCCGCCATTGCTCTCTCTCTTTAACTCCCCTGCGGAATCACACGGACCCCCCCCCGACCGCTGCATGTCATAAGCAAGGAACATGGGCTAGCAACTGAATCAAATGTCTGCAGTACCCCAGCAACAGTTCTAGTTGCTTTGGTTGGTGCCCCCCAAAAAAAACGCATTAGTAGGAAGCCAAACATGTCCTTCGCAAGAAACAAGCGTGACATCTGAGGCGCACTGATATGGGGCAGGAAGAGGTCCGCATTCTTGGTGACGGCCGGGGAGCCGGCGAACTCCCGGATTTTTCCGTCGATCCTAGCTTCTATCGAGACGGCTCCGCAAACGGGACCCGTTCCCCAAGAAGATTCAACGTGGCTCGGTGTTGAAGGGCTGTGTGCAAATGTCAAGGCGTGCTCGCTAAAGAACAGACAGGTTGTCCGGTGCACTTACGCCAGATGCTCTGGCAAATGCCAAAACCTGTGCCAAAGGCCCCCAACTCAAAATATATTCAAACCATGGTCCGCATGTAGTGGACCTGAACATGTAACATGCCGTCTTGGTTCCACATGATGCTCCATGTACCCAACCATCAAAATTAGGCCCACCTACGGACCGCCACCCCTCTGCGCGTCCCATCGGCCCATATGCCGAGCCAAAGTCCGGGCGAACACCCCCTCGCCTCTGCTTCGGACGGCCAAGGCACCTCTTGCCCAGCAAGTCGCCGTGGGCTGCCAGAATGGAAGCGAAGACTTGGAGGTCCCGGCCCACCGGCGACAGGCAGGACCTGGCAAGGTCCGCTACCAAACCACATCCGGAAAAAAAATAAAAAATATTGTTGGTAATTTTGAGAGGAGGGGTGGGCCCAGGCCGAACTCGAGCCTTTCTACGCTGCCAAAGTTCAGTTGCCCCGAGCCTCCCACAACCATGATGATTGGTGCCAAGGGTCTTGTATTCTCTCCCTCGCTCGAATTTCACCCCCGCTGCGAAACTACACGACTCCGCATCATTTCCACAGGTACCTGGTCGTTTTGAAGCATGCTCCCCAGGGCGGAATACAAGAGGCGCGCGGACTGCTTTACGGGTGAGCAAAAGCAACTTGTTGAAGCTTTCAAAGGAAACCAACCATGTTGGAGGGTCGACTCGCTTTTTTGGACACAACGAAGCAGAATGCACACTCCAATGTCACGGCTTGGTTTAGTCAACTGCCCTCTGCCCTGCTCACACAAAACACCAGGGTGTGCATTGCAACATTGTAACACGTCATCTGCAAAGCTTAATAAATGTATATATATATATACATATATATATATACATACACATACATACATACATACATATATATATATATATATGTGTGTATTTGTTTCGTTTAGCCTCAAACAACAAGCACGACAGGGGCCCAAACTTCATGCGTGGCGCCCAAACACCTGGCCTTGCTGTGGCAAACCCAATGCAAAAAATAACCACGTCAGTTTGGCAGACCAAGGAGACTGATTCTAAAAAAGCCAAGGATGTTGTTCAATCGCCCCTGAAGACTGTGCGAAACCGCCCAAATTGATCTGCTGACCGAGTAGCTGCGCTCTTGTCCATATTTTGTTCTCCTCTTCTGGAAGCATTTTGATGAGCTGCTGGCTGCCCATGCCGGCCAAATACACCTTCCACTTGGTTGCTTCGGCTAGGCATCCACAACAAAGGTGACCTACTGTGGATGCCCAAAGACTGGAAAATCATGAATCCCCACTTCAGGGTTCCCGAGAAATCCATCACCTCACCAAGCTCGCTAAAAGTTGGCAAGCAAAAGGATGAGTAAAAGCCAAGGCAAACCTAGGGAAACCAAACTGCTTGCAATGTGTGCGGCTTTTCGACTACTTGAACCTTCTCAAAACGAATTGCCCAAAGGGTCCCTTGACGTGGGACCATTGCCGTCGGACCTTGCGCCCTGGCTTTCAGACCCCAATCAAAAGCAAAGGCCAGACCTGGTGTTTCGTGGGTCTGCTTGAAGGGTCTTAGAAAGGCCTTGAACCATCAGTTCTGCGCGAAAAACATAAAACATAGGAAAACAATACGACCAATCTCTATCACCATCAAGCATGTTTGTTTTGTTCTTTTCTTTTGTTTTTCTTTAAAAAAAAAAAAAACATTCAATTTGAATCGGTTTCACCACGTTAACATCGAAACGGCACGAGGCACCGAAGGAGAGGCCGCATGCTTCCTGAGCTGCTCCAGCGCTTTCTGCTGCTCCTCCGGCGACAGCCCCATGGCCTCCACCTTCGACTTTCGACACGAGATGTGGCTGGAAAAATCGGACCCCAGCAAGAAATCTTCTTTTTTGCCTGGTCGTGGAAAACAAAAAGGGAACCCCAAAAAAGCAAAAAAATAAAAAAGAAGGGGAACTAATTCTGGGAATTGGGGGGGGTCCTTCCGAAGGCATGTCTTCCCAAAATGAGATTTATCTAGAAATGTGGTCATGAAACAAAAGCCCGTACCCCAATCCCCACTAAAATAGACTAAAATGGGTGGTACACCTACCCCGAAATCGTAGCATTGGTTTTGACCCACAGCCATATGTTTGAGATTCCATGTTAATCTGAGCAGACCTAACTTGCTCAACATGTGCCACCAAGAGCACACACACACATCCCTGGAAAGCGTCGAGCCTCACTGGGCCTGACCAGTGAGCTTTCTGTTCAGGCAGCACGTGATCAGCTTGCCATACTCTACACATCTATGGCCCTTATGGCACGTTGGCACGTCTCTTCTTGCCATTTCGCACCTGGGTAAAGTGAAAGGGAGGGCCATTCAACATTGCCCAGACTTACGGACACAAAACAGCACAGTTTGCAGGGATGACAACGGAGACCAAAGGGCCTAAAAGGCAAACAGGTTAGCACTACCTGGGTCCTCCTTCTCCGGGTTATTTCTCTGCTTTTTGCCGTTCTCCGGGTTATTTCCAGGAGACCCTCTGAAAACTAGGAGTTTCAGGTGTTTCAAATGAGTGAATCAAAAAACAGCTTGCAAAAGGCAGGAGTGAACATCAAAAACTAGGAGTGGTTCTTGGGGGAAACAATTGGAAACAAGTCTTGTTGTCTTTTTCGTTGTTTGGGCCCGCAATTGTACAACTCCGTACACTATCCCAGCAATTATGCAACTCTGCGCACTCGAGTAAATAGTCCACTGATTTTACTAGCTATGCACACTCCGGAAACTCCGTATTTTTTGATTTGCGGGAGTTTGCGGGTTTTTGCGGGAGTTTGCGGGCTTTTTGCAGGTATTTTGCGCTGAGTTTCAGGTGTGGTGCTTTCCGGTTTGCCAATTTGTCGCCCAAAGGCAATAATTCCGAATTGAATAATCATGAATTCTGAATAAGTGAGTTCGATTCAGGTGAACGATTCTGATTCCGAACATGTCTGATTTGGAGAGTTCCTTCCGTCAAGTACCGAATAATTGCGATTTCCAGTGGTTTCAGGTGTGCAAACCATCCAGAAGAGACAGTCAATTTCTAGGAGTTTTATCTCAACAGCCAGAAGTTTGAAAACTCCGTGTATTTTTCACTCAGACCCTCAAAAAACTGGTAGTCTCCGGATTTTACGTTAAGTTTCCATGATTTGGAAGATCCAGGTAGCGAATTACTTCTGGCAATGTGTCCGACCGCTCAAAAGCTAGGTCGAAAGCTCGAGTGGCTTTAGGTTGAGACCAGGTCCCTCATTTCGGTCGCTCAGACTTGCTCAGCTAACATACTTTGGCACGCGCTCGGCAATTGCAGCAACAAACGGCTGCTAAATCAAGTCGGTGACCTGAAGCTTTCCGCAAAATCTGGAGAGGCAAGAATATGAACAAGTCCTTCGCGCCTGACCTAGGATACGAACCCTACTTGTCACAGGAATCGCTGATCCTATCTTTTGCAGGGGTTCAGAAGTTTAGCTTTAGGAGTGCTGTCTTCTGCGGCTTCAATGAATGGAGAGATCTTTCCACGTCCTAAGGTCCACAAGATTGGGGGTCTTGATGTCAAAATGTTCTAGCGGCTGAGTTGCCATTAATTCCAAGCATCGCTTCCACAAAGCCCTTGGGCTTCTGAAAGCTTTCTGAAAAGTTTGAGTGGTGCAAAGTTAGAGCCCGAGACCGAGCCAAGATCAACCTGCAATTGCTGGCTTCCCTGGGTCCACCCCAAAGCTCCCCTCCCAACATTTGCACCAGACACGTTTCTTGCTGACGCTCCTTTGCCTGTGCCTTCTCCAAGTCTGCGGCTGCGGGTGCCAATAGATACCGGGGGCACAAAGCGACCATTTTGAGCTGTCTCAAAGATACTGTTGGGAGTACAGTTGCATCACACGCCCGTTTCAAGCCTAAGCATGTCACTTTCATTGACTCAGACATGTGGGGCTTGTCGGAAATGATGCAACGACATCCCATTGCTACCCATTGTTCCCCCTGAGAGTTCTACCAAACAAAAGCGGCGGTGACCTATGGCCAGTTTCATTCGCTTCCTTTTCTCCCCTTCCCGAATTCCTGCTTATTTTCTTCTCCTGCTCTCCATGCGCTGTACCAAATAGGGGGTCTTGAAAACAACATGATATCAACCCCCTTTCGCTTCCTTTTGCTGAAACTTGACCATTTTAGAGAATTGATCGCACCCAGTTCACCACGAACAAATGCCCCAGACTCTTGCGAGGCGCTGTTGTCATAGCCATCAGCATCTTCTCACCGAGCTGGCCCAATTGGCTCTTGTCCAGCATGGCCGCCCACTGCGGCGCTCGCAATCGCCGGATGGCAAGTAGAAACTCGCGGGTTTGCCCACGTCAGAGGTTGAGATTCTGCACGGGTTACCATGACCACGAGCACGCCAACAATGAAGTCAGAGCTGAAAAGCCGGAAATAATGACAAAGATGGTCAGTTAAGGTTGAGTTGCTTTGGTTGCAGCTGAGCGTAGAATGACCAAAAAAAAGCATGGCTTACATCCACTTGTGAAAGATGCGGGGGCTTTTCAATCTCAGGCACACGCAAGACGCCGGATTGAATCTTCACATTGTCACGCTCTCGCTCAAGCTTGGTAGCGCAGCTGGAACCTAATCCGCAAGCTGCAGGGGACACCGCCGCAAGGGAAATCAAGATCATCTAGCAGAAGGGAATTGTTAGGAATGATTTGTTCACTAACCCAGATCAAGAAAGAATGACACCTATGCTTCAAACTTCGAGCGCTGAGTGGGATTGAGAGCTCGTGGAGGTGTCACCCAGCTCCAGGCACGTTGACCTCATTCTTTTCAGGAGCAGGACCCTGTGTCCATTAGACTTGGAAGGGACCCTACCGCGTATGGCACGTGGCAAACAAACGGAAACTGGCGGGGAAGCTGGCACCGCTTGCCAACAACGCAAATGCTGCTCTGTTCACCAACCTGCTTTACAGGTAACGGCCCCCAGCAAGCCAATCAGGAAGGTCGAAACGGCAAAATCGCAACTCCGAACAAGCAGCAAAACATGCAACTGCGCAATCAGCCCCGCCTCGCCCCGAACATGCGCAAACTGCGGCCGCGGACCACCCCAAAAAAATTGCCAGATGGGGAAAGGGCACCATCACAGCCACTTGCCCACTATGCCACCCTTGCCCGGTATCAAGCAAAGTCGGGCCATTGGGGAATGGGATTCCGACTTGGGGCTCCTCGATTTCGAGACCCGGCAGGCTTAGCAAGCAAATTTGCTGCCCAGCCTGGCCCAGAAGACAGTTCTCTGGGTTGAACTCCTGCCTGACGAGATCCAAAACTGGCACCCAAGCAAGTACCGCTCCAACACGGCATGCAACCGTGACACCCCTCTCTCATTGGGGCACGATGTCAAGCCCTGACTAAAAGAGGTGCTAGTTGCAGTTGGCAAAAACAGTGTTTTCAACAAATACCCTAACCAACAACAACAACTATTTGAAGTTGGGGGTCTGTTCGCCACCGCTTGGAAAAAAAGCAACAGGACTGCCGAGCAAACGCTCTGGGAACATGCGCAACCACTATGTTGCCGTCCTTTTGGGAGAACTGAAAGAATATGGGATATTTTCGCCCCTAGCTCCGCAAGAGCACCCGTGGAATGTCCGCGAAACTGTGGCAGCTCTTGGAACTAGTGGGGTGTTCGACAATCGTCAGCCCTGGGCCGCACCCTCAAGCCCCTCAAGCCCCCCACATGTAACTCTTGGCAGCCTCGAAAATTCACACCGAGAAGGCTGTCCTTGAAGGGACACACACTGACCGCAACATAGTTCGACCAATCCATATCACTCGACGGATTCTGGCCTTGTGAACTTTGGGACGAAGTTCTCGCAGCCAACCTCGGAGCCAGGTGCATGGCGCTGGCGACCCGCGAAGGACCCCAAGTCATTCAGCCTCTGCAAGTGGCTAATCGCCCAAAGCAAGGAGTGAGCAAGAAAGCCACAACAAACAGCGTCAAGGCTTAGGCACAGGAAGCCATTGTTCTTGCCCTGCGCATGTGGCTTAAATGGTGTTCCCAACTCACTAAGGGCCCCGCATCTGGTATTTTGCCCACAGTGGACGCGTCAATCACCTCTCCACAGCCGCCCAGTAGCCGCGTCTTGGATCCCTGCACCAACATGCTGGAGAGCCTCAGCCGCAAAGGTGGAGCGCTGGAACAAAGGTCCCATAGCTTCCTGCACAGCAAGGACGCAAGTCAGGGAGTCTGCGCAGGGGCTGTGACGTTGCCTTGATTGAAACTAAAGAAAAAACAGTGGTGCTGACCCATTTGGCCATGGTTCAAAACCATGGTACCATTTTTGGGATAGGTGCACCATTTTAGAACCAATTTTTAGTGGTTGGATTGGGAGGTTCACTGGGGGCTAACCGATTTGGGTTTTGAAAAGCCCATGGCCATTTGCTTGCGATGCGGGCGCGTGAACATGGAGAAGAGTCCAAGCTGCTGAAGGCCTGCTTTCTCCAGCAGCGATGGGAAGAGAAGAGTAACCTGACAGCACAAGCACGTGGCACGTGGCAGGGATCCTTACATACACCTGAACATTGCCTTGTAAATGGTGGTTTCCCTCGATTTTGGTGGAAACAGCCATGTTTCAAATGGGCAAAGGAGCCCTGCGTGGGTGCGTCTTTTTTGAGGGCACCCTGTTTGCGGCTGGGATTGAAAGGAACGCCGCGGGAAAGCAACAGAACTTGCCCAAAGCGCAGAAATCCGATGAGGGAAGCAGCTGGCGGTCCAAGCAGCGAAGACATGGCGCCCGGTAATGCGCAGCAGGCCGTCCAGCAGGCTAAAGCCCGGGAGGAAGAACCCCAAGCCCTTCGCTCGATCTCGATTGGGCCAACGCCCAAGCCAGCTGAAGAAGCCGCAATCACATATGCGCACACACATTGCCGTAAAAGCCTGTGCGTGTGGTTTATTTTGGGATGTTTCGCCATCGTGGGGAGTGGTTTCTAATGGGTTTCCCCATTCCGCAGCCCTTTCCCGTCCTGGCCGTTTCCCAGCCCTGCCATGGATTTTTAGGCTCTCCGACACTGCCTGGAGCACCACTAACGCTTCATCTTCTTAGACTAACGATTCGCGCAGCTTTGTGTTTGTGTTGCGCTGTCCGTCGGGGAGGGTAAGTTTACTTGCTGCAGTCTGAGTTCTCATTTAAGCTTTCTGATGGTAGTGGTGCTCTAACTCTGGCTTTCTGGTGAGGTTGCCTGTCATCAATTTTGTGTCTGTGATCTATTTTTAGATCTCTGGGAGTAGGTTTCATGTTTGTCTGTTGTGTGCTCTCGTGATTTTCTGGCTGTCTTTTTTGCAATGCAATTGTGAATCTCTGGTAATAATTTGGGTGATCTAATTGTCTGCAACTAGGGCTGGTTTCGAGCTGCTTTTTTGTGCAGTCTAATTATTGCGGTTTTCTGGTGGTTGTTGTTGCGCTGACGTTATCATACCATGTTGGGGCTGGTAATTCGTGCTTTGCGGCGCTTTCTTGTGCTCATTGAGTCAGCCTCCTCGCAGGACTGGAAGCTGACCAAGCGAGTTGGAACCTGTGCGTGCGTCTGCGTATGGCAAATAACTAGGCGCAAACAGCTGCCTCCACTGACCTTGCGCAAACCAAAAGATGCACAACTTGATAAATGGTGGTCTCTGCTACCAGCCTTCACAGAAGAGGTTACATCCGGACACTTTGACCATAGTCAACACCTTTGGCACAGCGCGTCGCGAGCCTTTAGGATAGGCACGGCAACCTGCGCGTTGCGCATCATTTGGCCTTGGCAAAAAGAAACGGCCAAGAGGCCTCTGAGTTGACAAGAACCTGGGCTAAATGGAATATGGCTTGCCCTCAAGTGGACATGCTTTGGATTGCGAGTGGTCTCTTGCGGACACAACCTCAGATCCAGGAACTGATGCACTCGAAAGGAAGTATAGTTGAAAAACAGCCCACACCCCCACATCTTTCAATTAGGTTCTAACAAAGGCTGTTTCAAGAACAGGGTTCCTAAGATGTCCCGTCTCAAACATATACCCTCCTACCAAGGAGAAGCTCACAGGTCGGTCAAAACTGTGGCTGAATCTCAACGCAGAAAACCCGGGAGAAAAAAAACATGCATCCCGGGGCGGGTTATCACTCACTTCTTGAGTGAATTGGCCGAACAACATCCAGTTTCTACTAGGATGGGTCTTCCCGTTTAAAGCCCAGGATTTCAGAAAGTGGGTTCAAAGAAGCACAGGCTTTTGGAGTTTCCCGCTTAAAGCTCGGATTTGCTTGCGAACATTGATCGAAAGGAAACCTACAGGGTGACCAAAATATGACAAATGGCGACTTGTTTGGACCACTGCTTCAACCAAAGGCAGCTACACATGACACGATCCCAAGTCGGCGGTGCTTTTCGGCAGAAAGGGCTTGGGAGCGGGCGTTGACCAAATTTCACAGAAGTGTTCCCCCCAAGATGGCGGTTGGCTTTCTGTTGCGCAACCCCCTTTCAAACCCCTTCACACCAAGAAAGGGACTCCACAGAGACACCTGCTTGTTTTCCAAAGTGGTTCCCTGAACAGGGGCCCTCTGGGGGGTGCAGTCTGCAACTTTGACCTGTGAGCACACGCCTGAGGGAAGGCGTCTTCTCCAACAAAGTCTTCACACCTTTCAGCGTAAATACCAACCAAATCCAGCAGGGCAAATAAATTGGAACCCGGTGAATCAACGCGGGAGAACCACTTGGGGAACCCATTTGAAGGGAAGCCTTCACTTCTTCATGTTCTGGGAAAGGAGGAACACCTCCTGCTAATTTACCATGGTGAATTTTATCTGACGTAGCCGCATACGCACAACCACGCACACCACACCACGCACTCACAATAGTAAACTGTACGTTTCAAGGAGCTTTCGATGGCAGACCCGCTGATTGGTGCGATGTCATTTCCCCACAAGACATGAAGCATCGTATGGGCCTTCGAGATAGATCAACTTTTTATTCTCTGCGCACTATTGACGCAGAGCACATGATCGAAATGGGGGTAGGGTCCATTATCCTGAGCCGTAAGTAGTGAAATAACACTACAAAAAAGAGAACCCGTTGTCTGACATAAGGATTAGGGATTAATGTTCAACGACCCAGCGTAGGAAAGTTGATGAGTGTTGGACAAAAGTAGTGGAAACTAGGAAAGGGCCATGTAAAATTCTTCATGGTTGCCAAGTCAAGCCAGGTCCAGACTTCACCCCATGCCTTTCTCAGTCCCGGCTTCATTTCTCCGAGCCGGTAACGTGGGTTGCCAGCACGTGCTTTTTAAATGGTTGCCCCTTGCCAGGCTGCACTGGGCCTGATACGTGCCCGTCACCTCCGCGCAGTCCCCTTTCAGCGTGGCAGTCAGGTTGCCAATGCTGCCCTCATCGCCTGGCGAACCCAAACCCAGCACATGCTTTGTGGGCCTGTCAGGCATCCCTTTGGGCCATGAACGCTGCGAATCCGTGAATGGGTGCTAGGAATTTTGCGAAGTGTTCCTCTTTTGATGGCCCGGATTTCATTGTCAGTCTTCACTCCCTGTCATCCAAATGATCCGCAGGATGCATGGCAATCAACCGAATGGAGGAAGGCACCTTGGTTGGAGAGCGTCTGCACCACCGGAATTGCCTTGAGAAACACGTCGAAGAACAAGAATAAGAAGACCTCGGGCAAGGCACGCAACTGGCGCCTTGTCAACTTGTCAAGAAACAGACCAGAGGTCAATGTCAAGGCTGCTGATGCGCCCCTTGGCCCCGGGTCTAATCAACCCACGATCCAACGGCATCGACTGGATCGCACATCCAGCCCCTCACACACACAAGCGCACGCACACACTCACACACACACAAACACCTAGACTTGTTTGGCAAATTTGTCCTCTGGAGCACGCCAAAAGACAAATGGCAAATTTGCCAGTTGAAAGTCAAAAAGATTCGGCTGCAACGCGGCGAGTTGAGGTCGGCCCAAAGAAAGTCGCCGAGACAGCCGCAAATCCAAGCTTCTAGCTTGTCACGTCCGCGTAGAACTGACAAACGTCATGCTCCCCTAAATCGTGCCACCAAAATTGACACCGAAGATTTGAAAACCAAAAGGTCAAGGAACTGCCAACTGGGACAAACCCTGGCCGAGACTCCAGGGAAATCACCAGGACGCCGTTGCAAACCATTAGGCATACCTTCAGCGAGGCTTTCAGAAGGAGACAATCATGGGGGCCTACATTGTTCAGCAGGGGAATACCATGGGTCCAGGCCCAACATACCAATTTCACGTATGGATGCGAGTTTGCATACAAGCTGATCCTGAGCAGTTCTTTTTGGACCCACAAGCACCCGTTAAACAATCCGACTCATTCAGGATTTCTTGTTGGTGTTGCTGGCAGTTGTTGTCTGTTGAGCGCAGGGAAAAACTGCACCCTACGGCCCGGGAGAAAGCCCGGGTCGGTCCAATTTGCTTGTTCGCTTTTCCAAGAAGAAACAGTGTCCATCCTACATTTTGAGGCAGAAGCTTGATCAAGCTTGCGCTCATTGAAAAGCGATACCTATTCTGCATGACCATCCAAAGGCTCTCTGAGCGTAACTCACATTGACAGGATGCCAAATCTTGAGTGTCGATCCTAATGAAATGTCCAGGCTTGGAAAACGTTCAGTGGCAGTGGAACCCGCTTCCTCAATTGTCTACGACCGGGACACGAGTTGAAAGCTCTGATTGGGACAGCTCACACATCCCAGCTTACATTGACCGCCTACCTTTCCTGCTTTAGGCAGGCCAAGGTCGGTGAAGGTGCTGACGGGTCTAAGCGCTGGATGAACGAACCCCAGATAGTTCCAACATGTGAGTCGCCTTGCTCCAGCCGAGTGAAAACTCCTTGACCGCATTTGCATATGCGCCGAATTGCCATGGACTTAAAGGGCCGCTCCTCCTCCATTTGCTTAAGTCCCCTGGAAAAAATACAAATAATTCCAGTAGTGATAGATTCCCTTTAAAACCAACAGGGGAAAATAACAACATATTCTTAACCAAATGGAAGTGGCTATCGGCCCAGGAACGAATGCAGCAAGCCGGGCTCCGCGCGTTTCCAATGGCCGGGCTCGAGGTGGCGAAGGACAGCAAGTAGGCCAAGCCTCTCGAACGGCGTCGGTGCGAGGCGGGTGATGACGAAGTGCAACGAGCATTTGGCTGGGAGAGTCCACCAGAAAGGTGGCACCTGCTAGGCCAGGGCAATCTCAGCAAAGGTCCCCAACAAATAAACATAATGCAAAGAAGCACCAGCCTGAGGGAAACAAAACAAAGCAATGAGCAATGGGAATGCGGCGAAGAACTAGTTGTCTGTTGAGCTGGGCCAAGGGGAAGCGTGTTGCAAATATCACAAAAAATCAACCAAGCTTGTGCAATGTTCAGCACATCGCAAGGCCCGAGGCGGAGCCGGCGCAAGGGCTGTGCACTCTCCCGACTGCCCTTCACAAACGCTCTTGCCGATGAAAAGGACGAGCCGAGCGGGTTCGACTGTGAGGCTTATATGACAGGTTCTTTCAATTTGTAGGTTGGGCATTGCAAGAGGCAGCAAGTCGCGGCCATTGCTCACGAACAGCTGGATCCCAATCCCTGACGGATACCTCGCCTGTACCATGTAACATGCATTGGAAGGCATAGCAAAACACCAATCTCGCGTTAGGCGCAGGGGAATTGCATAACAACATGTGTTGGGAACATGTCCAAGCCGACTTCACCCAGGGAACCCCGTCAGTTCAACGTTGCTGAACAACAGCTGGGAAATCGGAGGAAACAACTTTGACAAGCACTCATTTCGGGACCTACCCACGAGAAATCATCGGGGGCTGCCTTGTTTGGTAATTGATTTTCAAGAGGACCCCCTCCAAAAGGAGTCCATCGCTCCATGCGAGCCTACCGCCGCAGGAGTAAAGAGTAGCAGAAGTGTCACGCTGAACAACAGCTGGGAAATCGGAGGAAACAACTTTGACAAGCACTCATTTCGGGACCTACCCACGAGAAATCATCGGGGGCTGCCTTGTTTGGTGATTGATTTTCAAGAGGACCCCCTCCAAAAGGAGTCCATCGCTCCATGCGAGCCTACCGCCGCAGGAGTAAAGAGTAGCAGAAGTGTCACGGAGGTCTCCCAATACGTCGTGAAAGCCTCGAAGCCTCAGATGAGCAATCAGATATTGTGGTTCTTTTGCTTGAAGCGTACGTGGCGCTCAAGCTCTTTTCCAAGATGGCTCTCTGTGTGAAAAATGTGAAGCCAGCTTTTGGGGCTCATCGCTGGCTTGGGTGTTGTCTAGGGCTAAGCTGTGCCCTCTTAGTAAAAAGCCGGCCTCGGGCCGAAGACAAGCTGCAGGAGAACATCTTTGTGTTTTGTTATCAGCTAGGGAAGCTCGATTAAATGTGGGCACTGCGACATTTCTACGCAAATCATGGTGAGCCAGCTTTCCGGCACTGGCATCTTGTCTGCGGTGGCCTTCTCCAGTGGCAAGGTGGCAAATAAACGCACAAATCAGCAACAAATAACGAACTTGCTGTCATCGTGGCAAAAGGCACGGCGTCCCTGTAACCGGCCGCATGTAAACTCTAGGGGCCTATAGCTTCGTTTCCGAAATGAAAAGGTGGACATGTTGTGTGATTCCACCCCTGAAACCATTGCTGATATGCCGGGTGTCAGATGACAGAGGGTCTGGAAAATTGTCAGTAAGACCAATCCCGTTTGGGAATCAAATAAGCAAGTAAAGGCTCTGCCATCTCCCAAAATTGGGACTGCAAATAAGTAAGCGTACCTGCATGCCACCTGCGTCAAATATTTCGGAGAATAAGCTCAGGTGATTCCCCAACAGCATGCGGCGCTCTTTTCAGTGCTCGCACCACCCCGCAGCCTTCGCAGAACCTCGTGGAACCCTCGTGGAATCCTGGTGGAACCTTGTTGGAAGCCTGGTGGAACCCTCGTGGAACCTTACCTCAGGGCCGCCCCAGACCACCCCGAAACCCATCTGTTGAAGGAAAAAACAGGCCTGCAATGCTACGGTCCTCCTCAATATATGAGTCCTTACAAGGACCTTTTGATCAACTCCCACATCTGCGGTTGAGCACCAGATGTGGGTCTGGCAAAGCGCCTGCGAGGTTTCCGTCCCGTTCAGTTGACCGCCCTTTGCACCTCCGAACCCGCGGCACTGTACCGGGACCAGGTCCAAGGGGCCATAGAAATGCAAGAAGCCATAGAGGGCCAAAACAGGGACTGCAGCAAAGACGCAGTCCTCAGGGAATTCTGCCGGCAAGAGACTCTCCTGCACCCATATGCGAT